TGGATGGATGGATGGATGGATGGATGGATGGATGGATGGATGGATGGATGGATGGATGGATGGATGGAGGGAGAGAGAGAGAAAGAGACAGACAGATTAAATACCTTTGATTTTGTTCTTTCTCCTCTTGAATTCTTTCTTCACCAAAATTTTTAACATTCCTTTTATTAATCTGCCACAGGACATCAGTCAAGAACTGAGAGCCTTTACCAAAGCAAGCTGAGCAGGTGATGTTCACTGTTTTTCCTAGATGTGAAGTGAAGAGATTCACAAGGAAAATGAAATTCTGCAAGTGGCATCAGTTTCACCAAATGTAATAACCTTCTGCAGTTCTGCTCACTTCTCTTCCTCAACTCCTTCCGGTGCCTCCTTTCCTCCTTTGCTCTCTACCCACCCCTTCCCCCCGCCCCCCGCTAGCATCTCCATTTTTCTCATAGCCCCCACCACCCTCTCACCTCAGGGAACACTAAGCTTGTTCTGCCTTCACAGCCTCACATCATCATGAAGGAGTTGCTGATAGTTGAAATGTGAGTTTCTTTTTTTTCCACTGGTCCCTTCCATGTCTTTCTCTTCCTATAGAATTCCCCTTGTCTCTCTGTGAGCTGCCGTTGGAGATAAAACTGCTCTACCTATCCCAACTATTATCCTGGATGTAAACATTCACAAAGAGTACTCTCCGGTATTCCATCCCAAGCCCTTCAACTCAAGATGTTCTTTCGGAAGTGAAAACATCAGAGCTGATTTTGGCCACAGTTACACATCCAGCCCTCCCTCCCTGAACTACAGGTTCCCACCAGGAGCTTGTCTAAAATGACGCATATAATGGACATGAGGACCTGAAAGTCTCTGGAACAGCAAAACTATGGAGAAAAGACAAGAGGCTACCACACTATAGATGGAAATGGTGGTAGCCAAGACTTGAGCTGAGGATACAGAGTCAAATGTTGTTCTTTGGCCAGGAAGAGGGTGGCAGGAAGGATTACAAACAGGAGGTTTTATATGATCTTACTCTCCAGAAATGAGGAATAACAGTGTGGGCATAATAAGGAAGAATGCAAAAACCATCGCTCATCGGAGAGTGATACACTGAGGCCAGGAGTGTGGTTACTTATAGTTAGAGGTTACAGATGTGTGATGAGAGAGGTATGACTCATCATGGTGTTTCAGGCACCAAGTGGCTGTCATTGTATCCAGCTTCGAACGGAAACCAACAAGAGACGAGACATAAAGACTCAGACATCTGTATTCATATTCTTTTGCTGTCACTCATCTACAACCTACGGGGTGCCTTTGAGCATCTCTGAACCTAAGTTACACAAAAGTAAGTGAGCACATCTGCCTGTTGGGTAGACGTGACCATAACAAGAGATGTTTAAGCATGAGCCATGAACTCCAAGACTCAATACAAATGCAGTGTTGCATTTTGCTATGACAGGCACAGGTGTTTCTATACTGCCATGTCACATGACCCCCAGGTTCCCTTCTGCTAATTACATGACCCTTCTGCCATAGGAAACCAGACCCCACATCATAAGGAAGTATTTTCCATGTTAACAGGGAGTTTTTTAAAATTTCTTACCCATTTCCACTTCTATTGTTTTGTTGTGTGGAGGAGCAGTAATTACTGGAAACACAGAAAAGCCTTTGTCTTGAAATTAAAAACAGAAATAAAATATAAGTATTATTAATACATTGATTGGTCATCAATATAAAGCTAGTCTTTTTTATATTTCTATTTCGTTTCACAGCATTGTGTCAACCATTTTGAAAATAACCTTTGGCAATGCGTGTGCACACACGCAAATCAAACAAATGATTTAAGCAACACTTTTTCTGATTGCTATGATCCTTTTTGATGTCTTCTATATCATGAAGACAAATACTGGTCTAACCCACTAATTGTGTGACTTAACAATTATGTGTAAACCATGATTCTGTAGAATAGGCATGAACGTACAGAGAAGAGGAAGCCAATAGACTCGTGGAAGCGACACATTCATGAGCCCACAGGTCTGCTGCTCACCACCCTCCACCAGTGTTCATCCTCAGGAGGTCTCCTTCCTATGACCACTGAGGCTGAGACAGAGGGAAGCAGGAGGTCTCTTGGAGCATGGATGAATCCTTCATCCCTGGGTGCTCATTTATTTCTGGGCACTGAGATTAAGAAACATTGCCGGAGTTGACATTAAACAATGAGAGACAAACACAACTGTGGTCTGATGACGCTTATGCTCCCGCAATGGAGTACTGAAAAGGCTCTAAACAAAATGTTTCCTTCAGTGTTGCTTAGTCCTTTTCCTGTTCATTACCACTTGGATGGTGAGACCCTCATCTCTTCTGTAAAGGAAACTGTGCGTAAAAGACCTCAATTCTGGAAATTCCCTCAGACGTGATTAGGAAATCCTCCCCTCAAATGGCTTCTATAATACTGACAATATATTGGGGAACAGTTCTTTTCTAAACAAATGGCCTGCTTCGTAGATGCTAATGATATCAAAAGCATCGTAAGCCATGACTGAAATCCACTCAGCACCGTGTATAAAGGTCACTGTGCCTGTTATACTCAGGCCTCTGTCTGTGGCTTCTACATCCATGAACTCAACCAGCTATGCACAGACATGAGTCACGTCTTTGCTAAATGTTGTGCAAATCTTCCCCCTTGTCATTAATCCCTCTCAGGCAGTACACCTGTTTATGCAGCATTACACGGGTTATTGCCAGCAATCTAGAGATGAGGTAGAGCTTAGGAGGTGAGTAACTTCTGAGAAAATGTATAAAACTGGAGCATCCAGTATTTAGTTACATCCACATTCTGGAAATCAGTCCAAAAAAAAAAAAAAAAAA